AAAAAGCTTAACGAGAGACTTGATGCATTATGCATGTCAATACAGGCACATACATACTTTGGACCAATCAGGCTTCATTCTACTTTTTTTTATTTTTTATTTTTCAGATAACATCTTCAATTTTATATTATTTTATTTACATGCAAATCATCAAGTACTTATAAATCACATACCATACTTGAAATAAAAAATAATTCATTTTGTTAGAACTATTAAATATAGAACATGCAAACTACACAAAATCACATATTAATTATTTTAATTTTTCTATAAATACTCCTTAAGACGTTTACAGAGATACTAAAGTCCTTACTAGAACCTCGAAGTTTTTCTACACTATTTTTCTCCTCCTCCCTCTCTCTCTAGATCACTCACTATCTCTCTAAACTCTTGGAAGGTTGAAGAATGGAATGGAAGTGATGAGAAAATGGGAGAAAGAGTCCCTATTTATAGAAAGTGGGGACTGTCGAATTTGCACCAAGTGGCGAAATTCAGTGAAGAGAGAGAGTGTTGAATGAAAAATGATGATTTGACGCAACACAAAAAACGAAGGAAAACTTCCTCCACCGACGACGGCACACCCCAATTGGCAACACCTCGCTTAAGGAGGGCGGCGACACACTGCCCAAGGTAACAGTGTGCCTCACCTGGCTTACACATGTTGCAGGCCTAGCCTGCAGGTGCCGGGCCACCCTGCCGCGCACAGGAGTTAGCCTGCACGTGCATAGGGCCTACAGTGCTCTGGGGCATCGCGCGCATGTCTATCAGTGCAGGCCTACTGCGTGAACGACGCGCGCACAGTTTGCAGCACCTGGGCTTGTACGAGCTCGCCTGCGCACGACAAGATACATGTGTACGTAGGACTAACCCTATGCCTCGCGCGAATGGGATGTGCGCACTGTACACACGTCCTGCACCTGGTCATGTGCGCACAGACGCGCACAATGCACGATGCCTGCACGGGTGACCCTCTCCCGCAGGTGTTTTCCCGCAGGATTTTTTCCCCTTTTTTCTTTTTCTCCTAAAAATTAATTATTTTAAAAATAAAAATAATAAATCAAAATAAAATATAGTAATAATAAATCAAATAAAAATAATAATAGATAAAAAAATTAAAATTAAATAAAATAACAAAAACGATGTAAGATTGAAATTACGAATTACGATATAAGGCTGCAAAATAAAATTAAATGAGTTTATGTGGCCTTAAGGCCCGAATAAATAGAGATTCTCTAAATACAATTTAGGGCAGTGGTGAGTGGGGTGTTACAATCCTCTTAATTTTAAAAGAGTTGTTGAGAATTCTATATAAGTTTTATCTTCACTTGAGCGAAAAAAGATCAAATTCGAGTTGAAAATAATAAAAAATCACACCCTTAATTAGTATAATAAAATCATAATTGAGATTTTTAAGGATGCACTAAGAGAATAACTATTTAAAAGACTCAAATCACATGGAATGTTTTAAATTTGAACTAAGATCGTTTGATTTACTCATAGTGATCTAATATTAAAGAGAACTTTATAATGCACATTTCATATTTTACCCTTAAACAATTTTGCTTGAAAAATTGAGTAAATTAATTTCTTATTCATCACTATGCGACCTTTCTATCTATCTATTTGGAAGTCAAAATTATATTATAAAATGCAACCTATTATTCTACTATAGCATCTGTCTAAAGGCAATAATTGATATGGTTTGTAAGACCATGGCTATGAAAACATTTATTAAAGTGAATTGATATTTTCACTTGAAAGAAAATGCTATGTAGGCTTACTTTATAATTCCTATTTAGTAGCCTTGACAGTAACATTAAGTTAGCGGTTTAGCAGTAAGATGAAAATAAATGCACTTACGCTAAAACTTTTTTATGGGATTAATATGTTTTATCTAGTTTAGATATATTTTTTTTGAGATCAAGAAAATTAAATTGAAAGGTTTTTTTATTAGTTTTAGCAGTAATTTAAAGATAATACTCTTTATGTAACACTCTGCTCACCACACGCTAAATTTGTAAATAGAAACCCTTATTTATTCGGGCCTTAAGGCCACCCGAATTTATTTAAATTTATTTCATAACTTTATATCGTAATTCGTGACTTAAATTCGTAATTTTAACTTTATACTGATTTTGTTATTTTTATTTTATTTTACGTTATTTTGATTTTGATTTATTTTAATTTTTATTATATTTTTTATTTATTTTATTTAAAGAAAATAATTTTCAGAGAAACAGAAAAAGGGGAGAAATCCCATAGGAAAACACCCACGA